ATAGGAGAAGCGTGACTGCGCCGCAAGCCGCATTTTAGGCGGTGTATAGAGGAAAAGCCTATCCAATGGTCCCGGATCCCCATCCCCGCGCATGTTCGGACGGGGAAACAGCTACGCTTCGACAGCTGAGGGCCTGCTAGCCCGCACAATTGCCAAGGACGCACCTCGCAGCTGAGCTTGCGTTGAGCCTTCAAGGAAAACGAAGTGATTAAAATCGACAGATAGGTTTAAGAATTTTGGGAAAACGAAGCGATGAAAATCGTCAGATAGGATTCAAGAGTTTCGAAATCTTACACAGTAGAGGTAGTTAGGCATTCATTGAAGAGTGCCTCTACCCATACAACATAAGTTACACCGTTCGCGTATGCACGCTTGATTTCCATAGGCCGCGTGGATCTACTGTCAGAGCAAATACTTAAAACGATCAGAGCAATACTTTGACTGTCAAACTGGTCGTTAATTTCGTATAAAGGACTCGCGCTGACGCGCGTATCACACTCATGCAGAACGCTTTGTGTAATTCATAAAAATTCGATTTTCTTACAAATACATTTGCCCTAGGTAGCCAAGTAACTAAATACCACAAGCCCCCTCTTATCGAAAATCAATCAGTTCAGTCTGACGTAAAGAGCTGCACTGCCACCATCGTTCGATTCGCACGAAATGAGATAGCGTGGACGCTCTTACTGCGTGGAGAATTCAACAGTTTAGGCCGCATTCATACGGCGATTCCGCGAAATCCGCGGAGTTTGCGGAAAAGCAGGGTTATCAGTTTAGAAATTCCGCAAATTCCGCGGATTCCTTAGAATCCGCGGAATTTCCCCCGCTCGCAAAGCGCACGCGTCGCGGCTCCTTGTTTGGGACGCCGGGACATAATCAGCAGATTGATAACTACATTCTAAAGTCAACCCACTTTTCGATTTAAAGGATAAAAGGATAAAGTCTTCGCCGTTGATCAATCCCTTTGTGGGATGCGGCACGCATTCTACTTCCATTCAGAATCGTAGTGGCTTATTGAATGCGATGTGGCCTATACAATGACTTGCGGTGGCCAGCCGATGTACAAGTCAGTGTTTTATCCTCCCAGACGAATCTGGTACCAATTTACCGTCCCCGGAGGGTAGAAGGCTTGGTTGGCCTGGGCGGGAGTCGACCCGGGATTTGAACCCGGCGCCGCGCGAGTGGTAAGCGCGCCACTTGTCACTACACCATCTCCGAATCACTTTTCGATTTATGAAGTTAAATTGTATGATGAGAGCCAGAGAATGGTTGTTTTGACAGAATGCCATTATTCGCTTTGAATTTATGTGAAAAAAAGTGTTAAGCGTTATTATACTGCTGTCATGTACTCGTGGAGTTGCCGGTGCAGCTCGGGTGTCACCAGCCGCACCACTCTCTTCCTGTAGTTTCGTATGATTAAAGGCACACCGGTGCAGAAAAAGTCCTTCAGTTGAGATGATGCAATAATTGCTATTTTCCGCAATATTATCTCATGAGAATGGACATTGGCTGAAGCCACGTAGGCCTTCTGAACCCGACTCTAATCAGCAAGTAAACCGTATCCGATTACGAAGTAAAAAGCGCATGTCGTTTTGACGAAATAAATTTCCAGTTTTCGTCCTATTGATCTCTTCGAGTATTGGTGAACCCACTGAGTCCCTTGTTGTCCACTCTTATCACAGACAGGCTTGAATAAGTTACCTCTTATTGTAAAGCCGTTGAGCTCTGTAGCACTGTTTTTAGATATTATACACTTCCAGGTTCCACTACGATTTTTTTAAATCGTCTTTTTCGGCCGTTTTTTCGAGAGGTAAGTTGCTTTTTTTCATCTCTTGATAGATTGGAACATTATCTTTATTTTGTGGTGGTATTGATGTGATTTTTATGGTTTTAATTGCTTTTTTGCTATTGTTTTCGCATTTTCAGGTTTTGTCTGTTTTTTCTCATTTCTTCCCCTTCTATTTGGCTTCTTTTTCATTACTGTGTCACTGATGTGTTCCTGTCTTTGCTGAGAACACTCTCTGACACGGTTTTGAAGACTAGAGCCGCTTTTACACCCGTGTTCCCCAAGCTGACCGTAAATAGTGCCGGCTGGTGAGTACTTCG